CGTTCGTTATATAACGTGCTTCCTGGCGATTCAGGAAATTAAAAAGTCTGATATAGACATTTTACTACAAAACCAAAAAAAGAAAGATACAATAATAACGGGCATCATAATCGTAGAAATAATTTTATTAATCTCATCAATGACGAAAAAACGCAATTGATTATCTTCTTAAATGTTTTTTTTTTTTTTTTATTTTTATTTTATCTGCATTATATGTTGCAAAATCTTCAAACTTACTTTTGACGATGCATTCTTTCATCAATTTAGAATTAATTGAGAAATTTAAAATATCTTGTATCATTCGTCCATAATATTCTAATGATGATGAAATATTTGAAATTACGCCTAAATTAGATTTTCATCGATTTTTCTCATGCGCGCGTAATGTGTTATACGCAGAGCAATGATGCCGCATTGTGCGAGCCGCGTATTAGTTCTATTACATTTATATTCCCGACATATCCTCCCGATTCGTTTCTCGTATGTAGTAACAAACGGCGGGGCGCACGTAGTTACAGCATTATCCGTATGCAAAATAATTACGAATGGCGGTGCATGCGCGGCAGAATTTTATGTAAATCCGAAACCGCGGGTACCGTCTTAAGCCGCACCTCTCCGTCGGTGTTTTATTTTCGCAAAACGCCAGCTTAATACCCTAATTAATGTAATTTGGTTTCTATACCGGCAGCACAACTTCCTCTCACCACCGATTTCTCGCGCGTCCTCCCCCGCCCCCGTGCCTCCTTCGTCCTCGTTTACTCCGGCTCTTCCACCCGACGGTGGCCACCCCCTTTCCGGCCACCGAACGGCCCGATGGTCATCTAAACTTTTCCCGTAATTAGTTATAAATTTCATTCCCGTTCTACGTAACAATATTCCTACGCGACCTCGCTGGAACACCGTGTAGTGGTGGTCGCGCGGAGCAGGAAACGCCTGGGGAGTGGAAGAGAGAGACAGGGGGGCGAAAGAGGACGAGCGCGAGAGAGGGTCGACTTTGGGGGAGAAAAAAAAACGAGGAGGAAAGACGAGGGAAATGAGAGAAAGAGAGAAGGAGATGCTGAATTTCGCTTCCCGCCAGCAGCGTTGCCTGTCAGAAATACGAAGGAAGGGGTGAACGGCCGAAGAGGAGGGATGGATGATGCGGTTGGAGGGGGTTGATGAAACCCGGATGATCAGAGAGAGAGAAAGAGAAATAGAGAGAGAGAAGTGTGTGTAGGCTATGAAGTGGGAGGAGGATAGAAGGGGATGGCAGCGTGCGCTAACGAACGAACGAACGAACGAACGAACGAACGAACGAACGAACGTACGAACGAACGGACGAACGAACGAACGAACATGGTATAAAGAGAGCAGGATGGAGAAAATTCGAGCCCTCTAACCAAGTGGAGGAGCCTGGTGGGGGCGGCGGCCATTTTGCGAGCCGCGAAAAACAGCCCTCCCCGAGATAGCGCGAAGGGGGTTTCTGCCACCGAATCCAGCGGCCACCGCTTTCCCCTGCTCTCTTTCCTTTCCCCTCCTTCCTTCGCCGACCATCCCTCCAAGAGCCATCCTCGAACCCCTTGCGCCCTTGCACACGTACACGCGCATTTCTCTCGGGCGCTCTTATTCGCACGGTACTTCCTACGACCCTGTATTAAGAGCAAAATGTGGACGAACATTAGACACTAACGCTCGTTTAAAAATACATTCGTATTTGCGAACTCTCTGGCAGTCGGGCTCGGCTGCGCAGTATAAAGAAAGCGGAGGAGCTTCGCTGCTAGCACATAGTCCAGCGCGAAATTTTTTCGGCGGAAATGAAGCTTCTACTCGCCGCTTAACTCAATTAATCGAAAAAAGATAAATCAAGTCCGCAGAAATGTATTTACCGCGCTCTTATTTTACGAAGGGAAATAAATCCAAACGAAAATGCGAATCTATTTTAAGAATACTTATACATATACGTTTCGTTATATTCGCTACGCGATATCATACATATAAATTTGTTGTCCTTGAAAAAAATTCCAAACAGCTGATAAATGAATAAATAAATTGATGACAATGATCTAGAAATTCAATAGCCGGCAGCGTTGAAAACGACGCATGTTATTAAAATAGTGACAGCAAAATAATTTAAGAGCGCATACGCGATGATTTGATTTTTAATTAATGGCGGGTTCGACGCCACGCAATTATACACACCTCGACGGTCTCGCGGGCGCGACGTGTAATGTAACACTTAACGCGGAATTCATTATAGCGAAATAAACGATTGAAATATATTATACTTAATTAGCACATTGTCGAATGCCGCGGCAAGACCTCATAACCCACATTTTCGCGAAATCAAATTATTGTTATTTTCGGAATCACCTGTTGGCAATACCCAATCCAATAATACCTCACGTCCCACAGAAATCACACGGCCACCGGCGATATATTTCTACGCGACGATTTTTCGATATATCGCAGAATTCGTTTGCGAGCAGATTACGCTGTATCGATAGCCAGCGTTTCGTGAAATCTAGCGAAAGTTGAATTGCGGTTCTCTCTTTTTCCTGAATCTTTATATTATTGAACTTTATTTATTTCACACAAAATATTATTATTAAACATTTTAACAACTTTTTTCAACACGCGGATTAAGATCGAAATACGAATACCTTTACATCGCTGTGATCAAAAGATTGTCACGTTCGTCACAATTGATTAATTTTAATAAGATTAATTTTGATAATTCAGTTTAAAAAATAAAATTTTTTATTAAGAAAATGTATTAAAAAATGTATCTTGTTGAATGACAAGGAGATTTGTTAGAATAATCATAAAGGTAAGATAAAGTCTAAGTAGAATGTAAGTATAATGTAACTAATTATAATTTAACTAATTGTTGTATTAATTATGATAATTAATACAACGAAATGGAGATATCCAACTCATAAACTCTGGAAACTCAAGACAGACTTTGAGGAAAAATGAATACAGTAGAAACATGAGGCGATTAACCACTTTCCGTACACCAACACGTAAAACCGAGCTTGCTCGGACGGCGGTCGACCCTCAGCCGGAGGGTGAATTTTTTTTTCCAGTACGGAGTGCGTGTGCGGGCACGTCACCCTTAACACCCTAACCGCCGCGGCCGATCGGCCGTCGAACAGGTTTTCTCGATCGGGCTAGGAGAGGGTCAGCCCGAAAGCCGCAGGTGCAACGAGCGAAAAATTGAAGCTCGCCCCCCCCTTCCCCCT